GCTGGTGGCTCCTACCCTGCACCGAACTCGGCTACTAGTCCCAGGCTGGGCTGGGGAGGACGGAACTTCCTCTTCCCCAACGGCATCTGGATTTCTCCCCCGGCTGTAGGAAGCTCTGCTAACTCCCTCACCTCCCACGCTTCCTGCACCCATCGATGCTCAGCTGCTGGGGAGGAAGGGGGTGAGGAGGAAATCACTGTACAGGGAGCTTCTCCCCCATCCGCCCAACCCCCATCCATCCAGACTTCACCAGCATCTGGACCCCCCTCACTGATCCCTCCACATCCAGACCCCCCCTGCTGAGCCACAACTATCTTCACCTGGACCCCGCTACAAAGTCCTATAACCGTTGCATCCAGATCCCCCCACACCTGGATCCCCCACTGAGCCGGCCGCACCCAGATTGCCCCACACAGAACTCTCTCTACCTACACCTGAATCCCCCCACACTAAGCCCCTTCAGACTTGGATCCTGCCTTGCTGAGCCTGCCTGCCCACACCTGGTGCACCTAGCATGTAGTGGCAGGACCCTGGGGTGTTTCTGGGGCAGCCCAGTCCTTCCACTGTGTCAGGGTTCGGTGCAGCCTCACCGCTGAGTCTGTGTCCATGATCTCCCGCCTCTGTGCAGCCAGTGGCCTGTGCTCCCCAATGCTATGCAGGAGCTTCCACATTTATTTGACAAATTAATTGGCAGAATTTTGCAGAATTTTAAAATATTGTGTGCAGAATTTTTATTTTTTTGGCGTAAAATGCCCTCAGGAGGATCTTATATAAGATATGAATGAGACAGAATGATCCAGTGGAAGACATGACAGATAGGATGTACCTTAATATTTGTGACGTGTACAGAAAATGCAGGATACATAACTAGGAATTTCTATAACATAGAAGGGTAACTTGGAATTTCTCAATTTTGTGTGCATGCATGTATATATGTATGATCGCTAACATTGCACTGAATTTTTTTGCACTCAGTATTTAAGAAATAAAACTTTACAATATTTCCTGGTGTTTGCAAAACACCACCACAGGATGGGAAAAATAAACTTCTTGTGCATCACTGTCTTTGATTCTAGAGATTTAATAAGCGTTTTACAATAAATATTTCTAACATTAGGTGTTACCTTCAAAGATCAAAATCAAATGATTCTTGTAATAGCAATCTGTCTGCTCTCTATGAAGCAAATTACAATCCATTTTAACTAGATGAGCCCCATGTGCTCTAGTGCTGGAAGTACAGATTTCAGTAATGGGGACTGGAAAAAACTGGAGGATTGGTAACGCTTGTCAGTATCACAATCAAAAGGATGAAGGAGTCTTAGAATAAATAAATACATTACATAAATAGAAAAAGGAATGAGATACTGCTATGGAAGTTAGCAGCAGGTTAAGTGACATAGAAGTTTAGCCTTGTACTTGACACATTTAAATTCCAGTCAACCACAGCGGCACGTAAGGAGATAAAACTCTTTTCAGAGTCAGGAATTCCCAGAAGCATAGAGGCATTTTTGGGACATCCTGCACTACTTCAAGTTAGGCCTTCACCCTTTGTTTAACCCCCCTAATCAGAAAGCACAAAATGAACACATTTTCCCAGTGTGTTATTAGAAAATGTACAGTGCACTACTGGATAGTTTCTGCAGGTTTCAGACACAAACCAGAGACAAACTGCTTATTCATAATAGAAGAAACATCCTGGTTGAAGGAGAGAGTTTGAAGTTTTATTTTATAGCAAGCAAATTGTTCCACTTCCTTCTCCCCCGAGGCACTTTGCAAGTGCTCATTGAAGAAAGAAGGCTCTAAAATCCTGTTCAGTGCTTTCTCTTCTTTATTCCAGGAGAATTAACAAACAATGGGAGACTCTTCTAGCGGCATGAGTTTTGTGATCTCTCTGTTTTAAAGTCCACTATGCTGAGCTACACGTTGACCAGCTAGGATTCAAGTTATTACAATTACTCTGATCCAAATAAATAGAAATCTCAAAACAGACTCTTTTGTATTAGGAATTAAATAATGGACAAGAGTTTTCTATATTATATATCTGTGAGTTCCTGAAACAGGGACTCCTGGAATAAACCTTTATTTTAAAATACTCAGTATTCTACAATACTAGACAAAACCACTGCAGCACCATTATTATAAGCTACAGGGTTTTGGTACCACAGAACACTGAAGAACTTTTCTTTTTAAAAGGGAAGCCTGTCTGAAACGTCATTCAAGATGAAAAAGGAACAGTATTGCTCCAGTTAGAATCCTACACAGAATAAGGTCCAGTACTGAGTTCAGTGAGGTGGTAAAAACTTATAACTTCTCACCTATAACTCATAACTGCTCACAAATACCTCTCTGCTTCCTTCATTATGCAATCTGAACAACTTTGTCAAAATCTTTTTAGCAACAGTTTCACCCTGGGCAACATCTGCTAAGAGTACACAATGGAAAGGTTTCACCTGGTCTCCATACAATGGCTATTTCTTGAACCTGACTAAACACCAAAGAGTCCTCTCTATCTGAAATTAGGCCAAGCCGTGGAAACTATCCCGTCCTCAGGAAGAAGCAACATGGAAAAGCTAGCTGACTTTCTCCATCTTCTGCCTGGGAGAAATCGTGTCTTATTGAAGTCAATGGCAAAACTCCCTTTGACTTATAAAGGGACAATATGTCACCTCTTCACTGGGGTCCGGAGGCACGGGGGCTGCCCGAAGCCGGTAGCACTGGCTCGGGCAGCTTGGCTCTTAAACAGAGCCGAAGTCTGAGAGGGGAGGAGCAGAGCAGCTGGAGCCGGGGAGGAGAAGTGCTCGGCTGGGGGCGCAGGGTCCGGAGGCATAGGGGCTGCCCGAAGCCCGAGCGCTACCAGCTTCATGGTTTGCCGGGCAGCCTCCAGTCCCTGCGCCCCCGGCTGGGCGCTTCCCCTCCCGGGCTCCAGCTGCGCTGGGGAAGCGCCGGCCGGGGGCGCAGGGTCTGGAGGCTGCCCGGCAAACCGTAAAGCCGGTAGTGCTCGGGCAGCCCTTTTCACGTGGCTGGGAGGGAGGAGGGGGAGTTAGGGCGGGGACTTTGGGGAAAGGGCGGAGTTGGGGGCGGGGCCAGGGCCCGTGGAGTGTCCTCCTTTTTTATTTATTAAATATGGTAACCCTACTCTAGATACTAGAATTACTGATTTTCTGCAACAAGACGTCTGTTTACTGGTCAGTCTGTCCTCTGCCTCTCCTTCTTTTTGAAATCCATTTAGCCTCCAGTGCACTGCCAAATGCAGACTTTTAATCTGCATCCAATCCTGCAGATATGTGTTAAAGAGACACTAAACATTTTGCTGCCTTAAGCAATGGCCGTTTCTGCTAGGATTGAAGCACTTAACACTATAAACATATATCCCTAAATTTTCAAGAGAGTCTAGTGATTTTAAGTGTGCCAAGTTTTGGTTTCCAAACTTGAGACATCTTTAAAGTAGACTGTTTTTCAAAAAACACAGAACCCTGTTTCCTGAACATCATGCCCATTTAAAGTGTCTCATGTTTGGGACTGAAATATTGAAACACCACAAATCACTAGACACTTTTGAAAATGTAGGCCACAGTGCAGGCTTAGGCCAGAATATTAGTGAGTCATAACTTTGACTTTCTTGGCTTATATTTCTTTGGGTTACTATGTTCGAATAAGATTTGCCTGCTTGATTCACTCAGTGGATCTAAACACCAATTTTCTGCCAAATTAGGCAGAGCAGATAATTAAAATCCCGATCTGCATTTGAGCAGAGTTTTATAAAATATTACATATTAATAGGCCTAGCACAGCAGTGCAAAACAGATTTTGGAATGAATTTTAAATTCTGTTGTTTTTCTATGAGGATGAGTTTAATTGGAATTTGTAGGTAAAGTTTTTAGATTTTTTTTATCTGGACAACCAACAGAAGTAATGACAAACTGCACAACATTATTTTCCAGATTGAAAGTAGTGAACCCTGTAAAAACTGATATATATATGACCATACAGAAGTGTCTATTTCTCATTTAAAAGGCTGATGTTTCTGCAATTTTTGGAGGAGGGACAGAAGGTTTGGTAACTCTGTTCACTACACCAATTGCTACAACCCAGTAAAGATAATAAGTAGTAGGCACTTTCTTAGGGACAGAAACTTCTATGAAGTGGGTTTAGGCTTAGATCTTAGTATTTGTATAATGATCCTTGATATAACAGAATGATGAAAAGAAGATCTAAAGTGTGGTGGTTTTAGTTATTGACTCAAATAATTTCAACACCAGAGTTCTTTGCCCCTACAGGAAATCTCTTGATCATCAGACACCAGTCTCCTCTGAAGCACAACTAACCCTATGACTTGGTTTCTATAGATGTATTTTTATCTATCAGCATGATACTATTATCAAAGCTCCTGTTATTTCTTTGACTTTAGGATGAGTCAAGGTAAAAGAAGTGGCTACGAACAATTCCCATAAAATTCTCTGTCACCATCAATTCTGTTTATCCTTGTACTGTAGGGGAGTACCACAGAGCTTTATTATGGTATTTCATATGCAAACTGAAAAATTATCTTCAATATTTGAAAATGCAGAGTTACAAACTTAATATTCTGATTTAGATAAACAATGGAGTTAGAAAAGACATGCCAACACTTCTAATCCATCTTCCTGCCAATGCAAGAATGTTCTCTGACTATTCCAGTTTGAACATGACCGCTATTAAATCAAAGTTGTCACCATTTTACACTCTTTTTGGCCCTCTCCTGAAAACCTGCACATGACTAAATTTACTTATGTGAATAGTCCCACTCGCTTGAATAAACCTATTCAAATATGCGTGTTTACAGGATTTAGCCCTTAATTTACCCTTTCAATACTCAACCGTAGCATATATTGTTGCTGATTTTCTTAAATTCTGCCCTTTGCAGGACAAGCTCAGCAGACAAAGTAACATATTCCAGAAAAACAAGCACCCAACCCCAAATTACAAGAGAACAGCGAGAGAAAAATCCAGCTGTAACTGACCTGTGATCCTCTGGACCCTCGTTTGTGGTCCCATTCAGAGTGCCCCATGAGCTAAAAAAGAGAAGAAAACAAAGTTTATGGTAAGCGATAGGTTTTGCTGATTTGCTATAAAAGGAAGAGTCAGGTTCTTTGGTGTTCTATATAGTTTTTCTTTTAAAACGTGTTTGCTTATTTTTCCTGTTTAATTAAATATACATTTTAGCCAGTATACCGTTTTTAAAAAAAGGTATCTATGCTTATTACTTTAATTTTGCATGTGTAAAATTGTTAGGGACAGATCACATCTGCTCCTATACAAGCAAAACAGATTGTGCTTGTGTAGGTAAAATTCCCACTCACATTGATAAAGATTTGGCCAGGTGTTCAATATGGCCTTAGCAAGAGCGATATTACTACATATTAACAACTGGATTATCAAGAAGAGTTGACTGTTGATGACATGCCAATGTACATCTTACATCAGGTGTAAAGGGTACATTCTCTGAGAGGAAATAAGTTAAAATCACTCCACTATGTTGGGGAAAAAAGGCAAAGTCGTTTGTGAAACAGATGAGATGAGCTCAATGTTTTCTAAACATAATCTATCATTGAAACTAAGATTTGCGATATTATACAACTGCTAAAGTAACATTGTTCATGCTTAACTTATTTTCTGTGGGCCAAATTCTACACTCAGTTACAAACATGCAAGTTACTCTTCATGAGATTGCACTGACGTAGGTGCAGCCACCGGACATGGGATTGCATTGAGTTCTGTGGGGTTGTATGAGCATCCCTAAGGGTAGCAAATGGGCAAAGACCGAGAAAACAAGAGCAATTAGTCTTTGCTACTCATACAAACATAACTTTATTCAAATATACAAACAACAACAACGTGAACATATGAGGATGACTATAAAGTGAGTGAACTCATTACTAATTATCCCAAATTCCTTTCCTTGCTCTTGTCTTCACGTCCCAATTTCTCCCTCTCTCCATGTGCCTTCCCAAAGGAAAGGATGGTACAACCAGAATGCACATACTTGGTTCAGCACTAACACAACTAAATTTTACAGTCCATGCTTCTTGCTATATGTGCACTGGAAACTCTGATCACAAGATAAAAAGCATTAAAGCTGCTCTTTAGAAGAAGGAAAAGCTACACACACACACACACATACACAAATTCTCATCTGTTCCAATTGTTCCTTCCTGTTGCTTCCTTCATGACCCCCTCCATCATATGTAGTTCTTTCCCCCCACAGTTTGAGATAAAACATTCATACAGATGACTGCTCCATAATCAGAAACAATGCAAATTGCAAGGTCTGACCCATCTTGACCCTTTTCATTAAAACTAGAATCTAGTTACTCGATGATGATGACTGGGACAGAGAAAGCGTTCTTTGAAGGAATTCCCCTGAAGAACAGGGGTGTAGCAAGAGTTCCATGATTGCTGGGCAGACATGCAGGCTAGGTAGCTAAGAAGGGCAGTTTATATATGAAATACATAAAATCTTGAAATAAATACATAAAAATAAAATAAAAAACAACTAGCAATGACTAGGTCAAAGGGCAATTGGGGAGGAAGAAAAAACCAGGAGGAAAACAGAATATATATGTAAAAAAAGATCATTTTGTTTCTAGGTTGCATCCCCTTCCCCTCCTCTATTTATATCATTTAGCCTATATCTCTTCTGGCTTCCTCTCTAATTGTACAACACCTAGTAATTTGAACAGACATCTAATAAATGATAGGTAGCATATATAGGTCAAGAAAAGGTAGAAAGGTACAAATTCTGTGACCCGAGGCACCCCTGTATTCACACCCGACACACTTTTGCAGTAACATTTGTACAATATAAGTCTTGAGGTATCATAGGAAAGCTACCACCACACTGGTTATTAATTTCATTGTAAAATACATGTTAACTTTATATGTGAAGTTACGAATTCCCTCTGTAATAGGTTACTAACATGTTTGAAGCAGAAAAGTCTGGGGAGTGGGTAAACAGTTTTGTTTTTTTTTCCAGTCAAAGGAAAGGTCAATGCCCCATCCATGTTCAATCACAAAATTGTAGGACTAGGAGTGACTTCAAAAAGTCATCTAATCCATTTCCCTGCACTCATGGCAGGGCTAAGTATTATCTAGACCATCCTGGACAGGTATTTGTCTAACTTGCTCTTAAAAATCTCCAATGATGGAGATTTCACAACCTTCCTGGGCAATTTATTCCAGTGCTTAATCACCCCGACAGGAAGTTTTTCCTAATGTCCAACCTAAACTGCTGTTGCTGCAATTTAAGTCCACAGCTTCTTGTCCTGTCCTCAGAGGTTGTGGACAATTTTTCTCCCTCCTCCTTATAACAAACTTTTATGTACTTAAAAATTGTTATGTCCCCTCACAGTCTTCTCTTCTCCAGACTAAACAAACCCAATTTTTTCAATCTTCCCTCACAGGTCATGTTTTCTAGACCTTTAATCATTTTTGTTGTCCACAGCTTTCCTGAAATGTGGTGCCCAGAACTGAACACAGTACTCCAGTTGAGGCCGTATCTGCACGGAGTAGAGCGGAATTGGCAACCTCAGTCATTTATTAGCATATCTGAGGCTGCAGCGACAGTTCAATTTGTATTGTAAAAAGTACCAGATGGGAAAAAACCAGCATGGAACCTTCTCCACCAGACTCCATGGCTCCTTTTCTCGCAGTAGGAGCATGGAACTTTGAGAAGAATACATTTCAAAAGTTCAGTGAACTATAAAAGAGAGGGACAAAACCCCAAGTTACCTTTCACTTGGCACTTTGTAAGAAATCCTGACCAAGGAGGTGGTCAGCCATCTTGCTGGAAGGAGATGTGGGAAGAATCTTACCTTGAACAGGACTGTAGTTTTGTTAAGTTTTAGTCACTAGAAAACATTTTCTACTTGTATGTGTTCGTAACCATTTCTGACTTTATTCCTTATACTTAAAAAAACTCACTTAAAACCCCTCTGATTAAATAAACTTGTTTTACTTTTATTCTATATCAGCCCAGTGCTGTGTTTGACTTGAAGTGATTATTAAAGCTGCTGGTTTTTGTCTCTTTAAAGGAGCAATTAACCTTATTACTCCTTGGAATGTTCCCGCAGAGGGCTGGACATCTCAGGGAAGACTGTTTTGGGGAAATTCGGGACTGGGGGGTGCATTAGGGGTCACTTGGGTAGTAATAACCAAGGCTAGTGGAGATCAGAGTGTGACTATGGTGTAAACAAGTAGGCTGCTGGAGTCCGAGTTGCTGAACCAGGGCTGCTTATCACACAGACAATAAAACGGTTACTCACCTTCCTGTAACTGTTGTTCTTCGAGATGTGTTGATCATATCGATTCCAATTAGGTGTGTGCGCAGTTCACCAGGAGGTTTTTCCCCTAGCAGCACCCGTCGGATCGGCTCTGGAGCCCCCTGGAGTCACGCTTTCATGGTTCTCCATATAGGGCCCTTCCGACCTGCCACCTCTCCAGTTCCTTCTTGCCAGATATTCCGACAGAGGGGAAGGTGGGTGGGTTTGGAATGGATATGAACAACACATCTTGAAGAACAACAGTTACGAGAAGGTGAGTGGTGATGTTGCACCCCATAATGCTTTATAGAAATATGCTTATGAATGTAAATATGACATAACTGGAATATGTGTTATGCTACATATGCCATGTAACATCTTTGCAAAGGTCATGTTCTACTGAATGTATTCATCCTATTCGTATGCATGTATCATTTTTATATCTGAAATTATGAGTGCTGGCTCTATGCTTGTATTTAAAGTATTTGCTGTAGAAAGCACTTAAGGCAAATTTGGTCAACACAGCATGAAGGGGTTATTCAAGTAAATGGAAGTACTTGGTTAACAATGAACCTTGAGACACGCCAATCCACATCTGAGCTTTTGGCTTGGCCTGTAGACAACTGAGTCATGCATGGACATGTGACTTGTCCATGTGATTCTAAAACTCTATGTTGAGCTGTGATTCTACACAGGGGGAGAGGGCGGTTTCCATCCACAAGAGAGAAACTATATAAACCCTTGGATACCCCTCCATTTTGTCTTTAGCTGGCTAAAGAGGTAGCCTCTCCACCCCCAAACGATACCTGAAAGAAACTGGAACAAAGGACAGTAACTACGGGGGTTTGAATGATTGCTGGACCCAGACTAGAAGGAGGCTAGTCTGTAAAAGAAGCTTATTGGAACATCTCTGAGGGTGAGACTTCATCTGTAATCACTTTCTTACAGTATTAGGCTTAAACTTGCATGTTTTATTTTATTTTGTTTGGTAATTCACTTTGTTCCGTCTGTTATTACCTGGAATCACTTAAATCCTACTTTTTGTATTTAATAAAATCACGTTTTACTTATTAATTAACCCAGAGTATGTATTAATACCTGGGGGAGGGCAAACAGCTGTGCATACCTCTCTATCAGTGTTATAGAGGGCGAACAATTTATGAGTTTACCCTGTATAAGTTTTATACCAGGTAAAACAGATTTATTTGGGGTTTGAACCCCACTGGGAGTTGGGTATCTGAGTGCTGGAGACAGTAGCACTTCTTAAGCTGTTTTCAGTTAAGTCTGCAGCTTGTGAGGGACGTGGTTTAGACTTGGATCTGTGTTTGCAGCAGGCAAGCGTGTCTGGCTCAAACAAGGCAAGGTACCGAAGTCCCAAGCTGGCAGGGAAAACGGGCTCAGAAGTAGTCTAGGCACATCAGGTGGCAGTCCCAAAGGGGATTTCTGTGATCCAACCCGTCACAGTGAGTAACCGTTTTTTTTTTTATTCGAGTGCTTGCTCATATTGATTCCAATTAGGTGACTCCCAAGCCTTACCTAGGAGATGGGGTCGGAGTTTATGGAATCATTGATTGAAGCACCGCCCTGCTGAACACTGCATCATCCCTGGGGTGCTGGGTGATGGCATAATGTGAAGTGAAGGTGACCATGTAGCCACCCTACATATCTCTTGGATCAGTACCTGGGCCAGGAAGGCCACTGAAGACGCCTGAGCTCTGATGGAGCGTGCAGTCAGAGTAAGGACAGGGACCTTA